TGGCACTTTGAACTTGGACTTAAAGCCTCCAAATTGTAAGAATAAACTCCTGTTTGTTTAAGCCATCCCATTTGTGGTATATTTCTTGTCAGAGTGGCACTAGGTAACCAGAACACCTCCCTTCCAAGGAGTGGTTGGTGGGTTTGAACCGCCATCCTTTTGGCTAGCAGTCAAATGCCTTAGGCACTATGCCACCAGAGCTTCTATTGTATAGGTGTTTACCAAGTATTTTCATAAGGGACCTGACAAAAATTGTTCAATGACTAAAAAAGTTGAGTAAGTTTCTATGCTACAGCAGTAGGCAGTGGCTTCCGAACCCTTCTGAGCACAGATACACCCTTCCTCAGTGAACGTTGTGTGTGACCAGGGAACCTACTTGGACAATGTTGAGGCTATAATTTATTTAGTAAATTTCTAATTATTACATAGCATTTATCACTACAGGACCTTTTCTGCTTCATTGGCTTCCTGTTCATTGTCTATCCCTCTCCACTATCACGTCAGTCCCATGAGGAAGGGGACTCGTGTGTCTTACCCCTGCATTCCTGCAGCTTAAACAATGCTAGATGCAGAAGTAGGTGTTCTCTGAACTGAATGAATGGACAGACAGACATTTTAGAGGATATATCCCTGTTCACATCTATGATTATTTTCCTTCAGAAAAACATTTAATACATGCAAGAGAGTATATACTTATGATTCCATTTATTTGCAATTCAAAACCATGCATAACTAAATTATATTGCTGGAAGCCAGAATAGTGGTAACCTTGGGTTGGGAATGGGTAGGTATTGGCTGGGAAAAGGCTTGAGGCTGCCTTCTGGGATCTTGGACATGTTTTTTATCTTTATCTGGGTGGTGGTATGGTAGTTAAGGTTGTGTGTCAACTTTGCTAGGCCGTGGTTTTGAATAGCTGGGCAGCTGAATATAGTTATTCCCCACGATGAAACTGTAATCACCTCTGTGGTGGAATCTGCTTAGTTGCCTTGAGGGTGTGGCTTGCTTCCAGTATATAAGGAGAGGCTTTGGAAAAGATCTCTAGCTTTTGGTACATCTGGATCCTGCTTTTGGCTGAGTCTTCATCTCAGTGGCCTGCCATGTTGCCTGCTAATCTTGAGACTGTGCCATTTTACTTGATGTTGGGTTTATCAGCCTTAGCAGCTAGCAGCTGTGTCAGTCAGAAAAAGCCTCTAGCTCTAGTGGGCCTGGAACAGGAGGTAGAGCTGAAGCCCAAGGTCGAGGGGCCTTCACCCATTCCCTAGAGCTAGCACTTTGAACTCAGATTTTAGCCTCCTAAACTGTAAGAGAATAAATTGCTATTTGTTAAGGCCATCTATTTGTGATATAGCAGCACTAGAGAACCAAGACAGGTGGTTTTAAAGTCAATGTTTTTAAATTCATACACACATGGACTGGTTGCCATTGAGTTTACTCTGAATCATGGTGACCCCATGTGTGTCAGAGTAGAAATGTAATCCATACAGTTTTCAATAACTGATTTTTCAAAACTAGATCTTTGGGTCTTCCTTTTGAGATGCCTCTGGGTTGCTGTGCTCTCTGCCTAGATCCGGT